TATATATATACATGTATATAGATGCGCATATGTACATATCTTTATATATATATATATATATATATATACATATACATATATATATATGTATATATAAGTATGTGTAAGTTAAGCAATTGCTGGGTGATAATACTAAACAAATATCGAAGCCGCATTAAATATATATAAAAAAATATAAAAGAAAATATATTTTGTTTTGTTTTAACAAAACACTCGTCTATAGCCGTAAATAATTAAAATAAATTAAATTAAATATATAAATAAATAAAAATATTAATATAAATATACACACAAACAATTATATACACCGCAGCAACAGCAGCAACAGCAGCAACAGCAGCAGCAGCAGCAGCAGCAGCGGAGGGGGGCCTCAAAGGTAGACAAGGCAACAATTTTTTTGCTTTAAAGGTAAATATAATTGTTTTATTTAAATTAATTTTAAATATATTTGTTTATTTTAATTTATTAGCTGCATTTTAAGCGAAGATACTCGTTAAGACAGAGCTCTCTACCTGTGTATTCCTGCCGCACTCCCCTTGGGTCTTAGCAGCAAATTTCTGAAGAAATGTTAATAAAAATATATATAAATATAATATTATAATTATTATTTTAATTATATTATTTATTTATTTTATTTATTTAAATATAAACTTCTTTTCTGTCCACAAGTTGCTGCTTCTCTTTAACCCTAAAGACTCATTGATAGCTAGCGAAAGGGAGGGGGGCGCTAACCCTAAACCCTAAACCCTAAACCCTAAACCCTCATAAACCCTAGGCCTTGCATGAGATGTCAAGGTATACAGGGCAGCAGAAGGAAGCAGCAGAACTCGCTGTCTCTCTTCTCCGGTTGGGGCCCCTAAGCAATATCAATGAGAGCATAACAAATGCAGGTAAACCCTAAACCCTAAACCCTAAACCCTGAGCACTGCTGCTTTGTATCCAGCAGTGTCTGCTAAAGACAGGGAAGCAGTAGCTGCTGCAACGACAGAAAGGCGGAGTCTGCTGCAGCGAGAGCTGCTCGGCACACTGCAGCAGCAGCAGCAGCAGCAGCAGCAGGAACAGCAGCAGCAGCAGCAGGAACAGCAGCAGCAGCAGCAGCAGGGAAAACAGCAGCATTATCAATAACAGCAGCTTCATGGACAGCAGCAGCATCAATAACAACAAAATTAAGAACAGCAGCAGCAGGAACAGCAGCAGCAGCAGCAGCAGCAGCAGGAACAGCAGCAGCAGCAGCAGGAACAGCAGCAGCAGCAACTGCAGCAGCAACTTATCTCCCTCATAACTGCAGACGCCCCTCTAATGAGTTCCCACCGCAAAACCCTAAACCCTAAACCCTAAACCCTAGACAGAATATGTTTTTGTTGTTTGCTGCAGCTGCTCTTTGTCCGGGTATTGATGAATTGCTGAGGAGTCGAAGCCAGGGCCTCCCGCAGCTCCTTGTTGACCCCCTCGTAAACCCTAAACCCTAAACCCTTGCGGATCTTGCAGTGGTGACTATGGTTTCTGTCTTTGTTTTCTGGGGTTTAGGGTTTCGCTTGCTGATTAGGGTTTGTAGATCAGGTTTAGGGTTTAAGGTTTAATGAGGGTTTAGATATAAAAAGGGTTTTGTGAGGGTTTACTGGTGAACGAGGGTTTAGGGTTTGATGACTGAAGCATTAGGGTTTGACGGGGGCCTAGGGTTTAGTGTTTAGCTCGGATTTAGGGTCTAGGGTTTAATGCAGATTTAGGGTCTAGGGTTTAGCGCGGGTATACGGTCTAGGGTCTAGCGCGGGTTTAGGGTTTAGGGTTTAGGGTTTAGGGTTTGCAGGTTTGCAAGTACTTCATCGCCTGCCCCTTCAACAAAACTGAAAACAGCTTCCGCAGTCCCTGGACAGGCAATTGGCTGCCCCCTATTGCAGAGTCTCTGAAGCCGTAAGTAATTAGCTAGCTAGCTAGCTAGCCAGGTAGCTAGGAAGGTAGCTCACCAGCTAGCTAGCTAGGAAGGTAGCTAACTAGCTAGGAAGGTAGCTAACTAGCTAGCTAGCTAGGTAGCTAGCTAGGAAGGTAGCTATCTAGTGCCTGCCTCGCCTTGAGCAGCAAGACCTGTTGGCTAGCCAGCTACGTAGTTACCTAGCTAGCTGGCGGTGTAGCTATGCATTTAGTTAGCTAGAGTTGAAAGTTGCTAGCTAGCTGGCTGGGGTTGTAGCTAGCTAGCTAGGTAGCTAGGGGTATAGCTAGCTAGCTAGCTAGGAGCCTATTGTTTATCTGCGGTGCTGCAGGGCCCCACATCTGCGGCAGCTGGAGGAGCAATTTAATGCAGCGTACGACGCCTACAGAGATGCGTAAGAACTAAAAATAAGGGTTTAGGGTTTAGGGTTTAGGGTTTAGGGTATGGGCTCACGCTCTCTGGGGTTTCGGGTTTAGGGTTAAGGGTGTGGGCTCGCTCTGCTTAGGGTTTAGGGTTTAGGGTGTGGGCTCACGCTGCCTAGGGTTTAGGGTTTAGGGTTTAGGGTTTAGGGTTTGCGCGTTGCAGTCATTATGGGGGGGGAGTTTCGTCAGTGTACGCCTGGCCCCTACAAAATCATGATGGATTTGTTGCTGCTTTTCTGCTTCTTAAAGGTTCGCAGGGTTGCGGGTTTAGGGTTTAGGGTTTAGGGTTTAGGGTTTAGGGTTT